AAAAGGAAATGGAAAGTGAAACCAGTGTTTGATAATCAAAGAAATATCCTGTCATGTGTACAAATTCTATCTTCTTCATCCCACTCCCACCCCAACCACCCCATCCCACTTCCCTCCTACCTATACTGTTCAGGGTACACTCAGTGGGGAAAGAGAAATTGTAACTAGTGAAGTCAAACTGGCCAAAGTCTGAAGGGCTCTGGGAAATTCCCTTTGTGCTTCTCATAGGGTGACATGTAATATGGTCCAGGCAGAGTAAGGAAAGGGGAAGAATGCAGCTTTTAAAGCAATGGATTTTGCCTACCTATTCCTTTAGGCCCTAATGTGCTTGGAGTCTGAAAACAGATGAGAATCCTATTGCTAGTAATGAAAAGAATGTAGAGAAAGTGAGAGGAAAAGAAGAAAGAATATTGCTTCCAGTGACCACTCTTCAATTATCTTTGTCACTGACTCAAATTTAGCTCTTTATCACCCAGGAAGCCTAATCCTCTCCTTTCTCTAGGGTAAATATAGGGTACTATACTTATCATTATAGTGATAATCATAATATTTTGTTGTTCATTTAAGGATCTCCCATCATTTTTGCAAACATCCATTAATGAGAATCCTCACAACATTCCTGTGAGGTAGATATTTGGATTCCCATTTTACAGATGAGTTAACTGAGGCACAGAGAGGTGATGCACTTGTCTAAGGTCAACCAAGTGAGAGATGGGAAAATATGGAAGAGAGGTAACTGAGGGTAGCACCCCTATTGTCAGAAAGTCATATTTACCAATGAGAAAATATAGTGCTATGTGTTTCTTTAAATTGGGCACACCCACTTTCCTCTGTGTCCATCTCTCTCTATAGGTATTAGCACACTGTGGAGGATCAATAATTTCTCTTGGCTTGTTCAAGGTTAGGTCAATTTCCAATGGTTTGGCTCTTGAGAAAACTTTTTGGGGACAAAATAGACCCAAACTTCCTGAAACTCAGATCAGAGAAATCTCTAATTTCTAAATTTTTCAGATTACTTTATTTCAAAGAGCTGTTGGAGTTCTAAAAATGTTACTATTGTGTATGTAAGTACTACACTCTAGTCATTTCCCACAGGTGTACAGGTTAACTAGATACCACAATACATGTATACTGGAACTGAACAATTAAGTAAATAGATGGCAGAGTGTGTGAGCCAAGTTTCTCACTGTTGGAGTGGGAGGTTACAGATAAGCAAAGAAAACAGGTTAGAATAATTCATGTGGTAATGGATTAGAGTTGGAGACATTAGTATGAACTCAAGTTTAGCTTAATAAAGATATGGATGATTACATACAGAAATATTTATAGATACATGTATATACATGAGTCAGTGTACACACATATATTTCCTTCCTCTGTCAGCTGAGATGGCCAAGAAGCAACAATACCCAGTACTGACAAGCACATCTAAGGCCCAGATCCTGGTTTCTAATATAATTTTCCATTAAAAGAAACTAGGACTCCTTAAAGAAATGGTTGATTATAGAATTGGGCCCAAAAAATGTACAAGATGAGCCTGGAGCATCTTGTAATGCCAGAAAATAAGGATGTGCTAAAAAAATGATAGGGGTATGTCAAAAGGACTTGGGACTCTACCCAAAAGAGTACCCAATGGCCAAAACTGGAACAATTTAGCAACAAAATAAAGTTGTATTGAATTATAACCCAAAGTATGAGATAAATATCCATGAGTCCCTACTGATACAAGTAAATGATTGCATAAATAAATAAATGAGGGAGAAGAGACAAATTTCCCATGAGGAAGAATTCCAAAAACTTTAGGTAGATACCCTCAAGAATGTAGTGCATAACTCACCACTCAAGTGTGGGCTGCACATAGTGATTTCCTTCAAAGAGTACAGTATGAAGCCGGGGGGGGGAAGAATACAGAGGAGAAATCTGACAAACACTATCTCAGCCAGGTGATCAAGATTTAAATCAAGATTATAAGTCATGTTAATATGATGTGATGAAAATGACAGTTTACCTCTATGTCCTTCCTCCCCCAAACTCATAACCTCAGTTTAATCATGAGAAAAACATCAGACAAATCTCAATTGAGGGACATATTCTTTGGAACTGTCAAGGTCATAGGAAACAAGGAAAGTCTGAGAAACTGTCACAACCAAGAGAAGCCTAAGGAGATATGACTACTAAATGGGACGTGGTATCCTGAATGAGATGTTGGAATAGAAGAAGAATATTAGGTAAAAACTAAGGAAGCTGAATAAAGTTTGGACTTTAGTTAATAACAATGTATCAATATTACTTCATTAATTATAACAAATGTACCATATTAATGAAAGATGCTAATAATAAGAAAAACTGGCTATCAGGTATAGGAAAACTCTCTGTATGATCTTTACAACTTTCCCTAAATCTAAAATTGTTCTAAATTTAAAAATTTATTTAAAAAGTTACTCTCACAAACCTTTCTGTCTTGCCCATAATTCCCTCCACCTAATCCACCCAACCAGTTCCCATTCTTCATAGTTTTTCCTGAAATTTTCAATCATAATTCTCAATAGTTATGTTTAACTGCCAATCATCTACAGATGGAAGAATTCTATTGAAACAAATCCCATGATATTATCCAACCCTATGGAACAAGGCCATTTTCCATGACCTAGGAAACTGTCCACATAATGGTGCTTTGCTGGTGTGAGCACAGAAAATTCAATTAATCTCAAATGCTACCTAAGAGCAACAGTTCCTTTCCATCTCATTGTCTATTTAGCAAAGTTCTATATGCTTTTGGTGCAGTACTCTATTGTACTATATTTGAATCCCTGTACCCTATGAAATACTCTTAATAAATTTTGAAATATTTCTTAAAGAATACATAAATAATTGGAAGGATTGTATATTATTTGGAGGGGAGAAGGTAATGAGAATAGGGTTAGAATTGTTTCCTGACTATAGACAATTAATAAAGCATTAACAAAGTCCTTCATTACTTTGCAGGAAAAAATTTGAATAAAAGCTTAGGGATGTCAGGGATACCAATATTTGAAATCCTAATTTGATCATCCTAATTAGTACAATAGTATGTTTTATAGCCTTTATTTATAAATAGATCATATGCTCCAATGCAAAAGATCCTGAAGTCTGAGGGGCATGGGTCAGTTATAAACTCTGGAAAAGGAGTCTCAGCATCCAAACTCTGGGGAAAATGGGTAATCCCTTGGACTTGACTGTGAAATACCATTATCAACTACTCAATTATAAGCTTAAATCTATGTATGATGGTAATTCAACTTGAACAATCTGTGTTATAGCTACATAGAAGTCCCCTTTAACAGACTGGCCCTAGATACTTCCTAGTGTTTTAGCAATTAGTCTACAGTGTGGAACTTGCACACCAAAAGTCAGGGAAAAGTCTATATCAAAATAACAATAATAATAGTAAAAATCCACATGTCATTTTGAAAAATATGGCAATTTTTGAATTTTTGAGGGATATGGTTTGGAAAGACATTATAAGTTAAAATGAGGTAAATCAAATGTGAGATATAATAGAAAGTGTTAGAATAGAAAAATTATGTGTCTAATGTTATATGTCAATGACCACAAGCACATTTTACATACTATTTAATCAATGGTAAATGATGTTGTGAGTGGTCTAAAGTTTTCTGAAGCATAACATATAAAATTGGACAAATACTGAAAACAATCATATAAAATTTTCTTTAATTTGGTTTAATAATGTGATCCCTGGGAGAATGGGTGTGCAGGTCTACAAGGCCTCAAGGAAACATCTGGGGAAAGAATCTGACCCGTATTTGTCTCACTTGTAAAATACGAATGATGGGTTAGACTAGATGGTTAATAGGATCCCCTCTTAGTGCTAGAATTCTATGATTTAGTCAGAATGGACGGCCTTGGGAGGTAGTAACAAAAAGTATTAAAGCAGGGACTCGTTGAATTTCCACCAAGGAAAAGGGGTTCACAATGAAGACAACCTTTAGGAGAGAGGCCGAGTCCAAAACTAAGTGATGCAACGCCCCCTCGCCTCCGGGAGAGGAAATACGCCATGTGGAGGTAGATCTGAGGTCCAGGGCCTGGAACAGAGGGTTTTATGTTGCAGAGACTATCATGAAACAGTCTGATTGGGTAACCAAATGTATATATTGTGCAACCTGCTGTAATGGCTAAAAGAAATGGCTTAGGCATTCATAGCAATTACAGAACATCAAATTGCTTTTTGTAGGTCAGTTTTCACTAAAAGCCTCTTATATTCTGTTTGAAGCACAGGAATGCATACTAATAAGGAATTAACAAAATTTTTTCTTCCAATCCCTCACCTCTGTATAACATGGCCAGTGTGTGATTTCTCATCATGCAATATGCTCATAACAGTTGTTTTATGTAAACAAAGGAATAAACAGTATAGTGCAGCCCCTCAAGACACGAGAATCTCAACAGGCTGCCATTTGAATGAGGTTTGTGATTACAGCACTTTAGATATCCTATACAAATGAAAGTCCCCCTCTATTTGTTTTCAGAAGCATCTTAGGCCTGATTGTTTCTCTCACTTCCCAACATACTCTCCTGAAACATTTTTCTCCCTACTGGCATGTCAATGTGTGTTTTGAGCATCTGACCAAATTTAACCTAACAAAGATTATCATAATTGTGCAGCAAAATCTTTAATCCTGAAAGAGGAGGAAGAATAGGACAAGGACAAGGACAAGAAGATCCCTTCATTCCCTTCAATAGACTTAAGAAGCAGAAGCACCAGCACTGTCTGAAAACCAAATTGTAAGAAGAAATAGATTGGATTCACAAAACCTTTAAGTTTGGTATGGGACTCAGCTTATTTACTGAGAATGTGCTCTATACTGAGGAACCAAATCTCTGTAAATCTTACCAACCAACTACATTGTTATACCCTCTTCTATCTATGAACTTGAAAAAAGTCATTTTAGAACACTACCAAACACTTTTAAATATACTGATTCAAAAATATAGATAATTCCAGAAAACAAGAGAAAAAATAGGAAAAAAAGCAGCGTATGTTTGTTCACAGCCTTGAGTTTGATTCCTGTTTTGTTATTGTTGGGAAGATGTCCTATCTCAGAGTAGAGATGGGGGTGGAGGGGCAACCATGAGTGCCACACTGGAATTCTACCCACGTGGAGGTTGAAAAAATTGGGGACTGGACAGTGGAGAGGTGAAGGTGGAGGATGAGGAACCTCCATGGGAGACCAGCTACCTTTTCCTCTAGTCTCATCAACCTGGCGCAGTGATCTGCTCCAATCTCATCCTAGAGGCAAGCTGAAGTCAAACAGTTTCCTCATGACTTCAGCACACACACAGGAAAAAGACCAGTGCAGCTCTTCTAGCACGGTCTGTGCCGCTCACATGGTATCATGGCGCCGGCGGTGGAGGGAGAGGTGGTCAGAGCGAGAAAAGCTACGGTTGCAGTCTGTGCACCGGAAGGGCTTGATGCCTGTGTGCTTGCGGAAATGGCGGGTGAGCTCATCTGAGCGAGCAAATTTCCAGGAGCAGCCATCCCAGGTGCATTTATAAGGCTTCTCTCCTAAAAAAAAGGGAATATGACAAAACAAAAGGAGTCAGAGAAGAGATGTTTAGATACTGGAAAGATAACAGAATACACAACCTTTTATCAAGTCTTTGGTCAAAAGGCGAGGTAATCACTTTGAAGACATGCTCTTGTTCACCTTTACAGAAGTCCTAAAGAGAAGCCAAGATGGTAAAGTGGAAAGCACATAGGATCTAGCTCAAACAGACCTTTGCTTGAATCCTAGCTCTACTACATACTAGCTGTTCAACCTTAAATAAATCACTTCTCCCTGGCTGGGTCTCTATTTTATCATCTCTAAAGGGGGATAAAAATACCTCGCAGGGTTATTTAAAACAGTTTCTTTTTTAAACACAGCTAGTAAATGATAAAACTAGGATCCAAACACACATCTTTGACACTTTCCACTGTACCACACTGTAGTAATCACATCCTCTTCTCTATTACCTCCCAACAAATAGTCTAAAATAGAGCCATACACACAGGAAGAAGGTGTGATTCACTAGAATGTCATTCACTAGAATGGGCCCTCAGCTAAGGCTACAAGCTTTCTTCTGTGTAAGGTCAGAAACCAAGGGCCTGGAACAAGTTGAAGAGAAGTGTCAGGTCAAACTTTCTGAAATAGCTCCATGCTCAGTATCTCCTGGTTGCATCTGGGTTATATACATGGAGAACATGTATGCTCCAGATAGAAAGCTAAATGAAAAAAAATAGTATAAAAACATTAACATAGTATGACCCCATTATGGTGTATAGCTCACACACCACATATTTATATACTCAGAATAAAAGCAATATCAATATACTTAAATGTAAATTGAGAGAAATTATTAGTAGTAAGTGAATATCTGGAAAGTGAGGATGAGAATGGTGGGAAGAGGACTTTTCCTTTTTTACTTTTCACCTTTCTGTATTGTTTGAATGTTGTAACAATCATGATGTTGTTTCTTATAATAAAAATTTTAAAATGAAAAGGAAAGAAGCTATATGAGCAAAAATGAATATTAACCGTGGTTAAGTCTAGGTCATAGGATTACAGTAATGTCTGTTTTCTTTTTAATGTGTTTCTCTATTTCCCATGTTCTACAATGAGCATGTATTATTTTATAATCATAAACAAGCAATAATTCAGACACAAAATGCATTGGTATTCTAATGGTTTCTCTTCCTCTGGCTCTTTCTCTTTCTCCTTGTAAATTCTCTGGGGCATTTATTTATTTATTTTTTTTGTGAGGAAGATCAGCCCTGAGCTAACATCCATGCTAATCCTCCTTTTTTTTTTTTTTTGCTGAGGAAGACTGGCCCTGAGCTAACGTCTATTGCCAATCCTCCTCCTTTTTTCCCCCAAAGCCCCAGTAGATAGTTGTATGTCATAGTTGCACATCCTTCTAGTTGCTGTATGTGGGACACGGCCTCAGCATGGCCGGACAAGCAGTGCATCAGTGCGCGCCTGAGATCTAAACCTGGGCCGCCAGTAGCGGAGCGCACGCACTTAACCACTAAGCCACGGGGCCGGCCCCTGGGGCATTTACGTTTATGCTGATCTAAATTCTGGTGGCAATCTAGTTTGCACATACTGTTTTTCAACTTACTGCTCGTCACCTACCAATCCTCCCAAGTGTTTACTAATTAACTGTAGAGCTTTAAAATAATGGGCAACAGAATGGAATTCACTGACTCACAGTTTTGGACCATACCCAGGCAACCATTTTGATTAAAGATTAAAGATAACCAAGGATTAAAGATGTCAATTACTGATCATTTCAATATTCAGAAATTGCTGCAGTAGCTGCTAAGAAGAATGAGAAAGTTGGATGTATTGAGACCAAAAGGTGGCCAATGAATTGTTATCAAATGAAAAGAAAAAGCTACTGAATGGCTACACACACACACACACACACACACACACACACACACACACACAAGGGGATCCCATTTATGTTTTCTAAACCACTGTACCTCTGTGCTTCTGTGTCTCTCTGTCTGACTCTCTCTCTTTCTCTCTCTCATACACACACACACACCAGACAAAGAAAAGATCTGAAAGAGTACACAGAAAATTATTAACAGTGGGGAAGAGACTGAGACTACAGATGGTGTTGAGAGTGTGTAAATGGGATTTTCACTTTTTGGTCTATGTAATTATATCCCATCTCCACACCTCCCAACTGTTGCATTGCTATAAATTTTGTTGTAATCTCTCAAGAATTTCTCCTGAGAATTCCTATCTTCTCTACACCCAAATGAAGAAAATTTGACTTGTAAAGCAGTGACACCCCGTGGCGATGGGAGCTCATTGCTAGAATACACAGATTACTGTACAGGAATTCAGCAAGGAGACCATTATTCCTATTTCAAAAGCAGTTACATTTCATTATTATTGAACAAGCTCTTGTTTGTGCCAATGTACTTCATACAACACAAGTCATGACCTCCATTAACATATCTAAATTGAAGAACAAAGCATACATAGGGAAAACAATTGAAAATATAATGTGTACATATTAAGTATATGACAAAGATAGTTAACGTAAAATAAGTTCCAAGGCTAAATAATAATCTGTGGGCTAGTGTGAAGGCATTGAGCTTGAGAAATGGGTAGATTTAATTTTATTTATTTACTTATTTATTTATTTATTTATTTATTTATTTATTTATTTATTTATTTTTCTTATTGCAGTAACATTGGTTTATAACATTGCAAAAATTTCAGGTGTACATCATTGTACTTCTATTTCTGCATGGACTACATCATGTTTACCACCAAAATACTAATTACAACCCATCACCACACACATGTACCGAATTATCCCTTTAACCCTCCACCCTCCCCCCTTCCCCTCTGGTAACCACCAATCCAATCTCTGTCCCTATGTGTTTGTTTATTGTTGTTATTATCTACTACTTAATGAAGGAAATCATACGGTATTTGGCCTTCTCCCTCTGACTTATTTCACTTTGCAGAAATAGAGTAACACAATAATAGTAGGGGACTTTAACACTCCACTTACACCAACAGATAGATCATCCAAACAGAAGATCAATAAGGAAACATTGGCCTTAAACGACACCTTAGAACAGATGGACCTAGTAGATATATACAGAGCATTCCATCCAAAAACCGAAGAATACACGTTCTTTTCAAATGCACATGGAACATTCTCCAAGATTGATCACATATTAGGCCACAAAACAAGTCTCCATAAATTTAAGAATACTTATTTATTTTTAAGCAAATATTGGTTTATAACATTAGATAAATTTCAAATGTACATCATTATATTTTGATCTCTGCGTAGACTACATTGTGTTCACCACCAAAAGTCTAGTTTCCATCCATCACCATACAAACATCCCCCTTTACCCCTTTTGCCCTCCCCTGACACCCCTTCCTCTCTGGTAAGGGGAATCTGTTCTCTGTATCTGTTTACTGTTATTGTTTTTGTTTACTGTTTACTGTCCATATATATGGAATATGTATTACATCTTTTTTATCCATTCATCTGTCAATAGGCACTTAAGTTGTTTCCAAGTCTTGGTTATTGTAAATAATGCTGCAATGAACATAGGGGTGCATTTATCTTTTTGAATTAGTGTTTTTGTACACTTTGGATAAACACCCACAAGTGAAATAGCTGGATCATATGGTAGTTCTATTCTCAATTTTTTGAGGAATCACCATACTGTTTTCCATACTGTCTGTGCCAGTTTACATTCCTACCAGCAGTGTATGAGGATTCCCTTTTCTCCTCAACCTCTCCAATACTTGTTATTTCTTGCCTTTTCAATAATAGCCATTCTGATGGATATGAGGTGATATCTCACTGTGGTTTTGATTTGCATTTCCCTAATAATTAGTAATGTTGAACATCTTTTCATGTGCCTGCTGGCCATCTGTAGGTCTTCTTTGAATAAATGTCTGTTCAGATCCTCTGCCCATTTTTTAATTGAGTTGGTCATGTTTTTCTTGTTGAGTTGCATGAGTTCTCTATATATTTTGCACATTAACCCCTTACCAGATATATAGTTTACAAATATCTTTCCCCAGTCAGTAGGTTGTCTTCTTTTGTTGATGGTTCCCTCTGCTGTGCAGAAGTTTTAAGTTTGATGTAGTCTCGTTTGTTTATTTTTTCTTTTGTTTCCCCTGGCTGCGGAGACATATTCAAAAAGATATTGCTAAGACTGATGTCAAAGAGCATATTACCTATGTTTCCTTCTAGGAATTTTATGGTTTCAGGTCTTATATTCAAGTTTTTAAATCCATTTTTAGTTAATTTTTGTGTGTGTTGTAAGATAGTGGTCTACTTTCATTCTTTTTCATGTGTCTGTCCATTTTTCCCAAAACCATTTATTGAAGAGAATTTCTTCCTCAATCGTATGTCCTTGAACCCTTTATCAAAAATTAGCCATCCGTAAATGTGTGGGCTTATTTCTGTGACCTCAATTCTGTTCCATTGATCTGTGTGTCTGTTTTTGTGCCAGTACCATGATGATTTGATTACTACAGCTTTGTAGTACATTTTGAAATCAGGGAGAGTGATACTTCCACCTTTGTTTTTTTCCCCTCAAGATTGCTTTGGCTATTTGGGGTCTTTTGTTGTTCCATATAAATCTTAGGATGCTTTGTTCTATTGTAGTGAAAAATGTCATTGGGATTTTAATAGAGGTTGCCTTGAATCTGTAGATTGCTTTAGGTAATGTGGATGTTTTAACTATGTTAATTCTTCCAATAAATGAGCACAGAATATCTTCTGATTTCTTTGTGTCTTTGATTTCTTTCGACAATATCTTATAGATTTCACTGTATAGGCCTTTCATCTCTTTTGTTAAATTTATTCCTAGGTATTTTATTCTTTCTGTTGTGATTGTAAATGAGACTGTATTCTTGATTGCTCTTTCTGCTGGTTCATTGTTAGTATATAGAAATGCAACTGATTTTTGTATGTTGATTTTGTACTCTGTAACTTTATTGTATTTACTTATTATTTCTAAAAGTT